GCTACTCACAGCTTGGGGGGATGTGTATGGCTCCCTGAGCGAGCGGAGGCGACGAGGTGAGGATGAGGAGGTGGAGGAGGAAGAGCAGGGCGGGGAAGCTCCGCCCCCTATAGGCCGTCCACCGACGCTGCTGCGACGACGACATCATCTCTCAAAGTCCCATCAAAGGTGACACAGCGCTCCCACACACTCATCAACGACACGACGCCCGGACCAGACGCACACCAGGAGCCTCCAGAGAGGGTGGACTCGTCAGGAGGATCCGCTGGGCCGCTGAGGAGGAGGAACCGGGGGAGGAACCGGGGAGGACGGGCCAGAACAAAGGAGGGACGGCGGGGGAGGAGAGGGGAGGAGAGGGGAGGCCACAGGGGAGCACAGAGAAAAGACTTCATTAGTTTCACCAAACACAAGTCAGCAGGACCGGCAGCAACGCACTCGGGTCGACTTGACCCGCAAATAAACGAGGAGGTTCCTAATTAGCACCACAGAGGAGCTTCATCTGAATATGAAATGTCTTCACAGAGACGTCAGACGTCTGATGGTATCTGTGCTCAGAGTTAATGAATGATGTGTTTTACCCGTCTAACAACAAACAACAACAAACAAACAACAACAAACAACAACAAACAACAACAGGGCTCTTTTCTTTGATCTATGGTTTGAAATGAAAAAAATTTAAATTAAAAATCACCATTAATGGACTGAAAAATGAATAAATTAAAGGAAAGGCCCATTTATTGTTGGTTGGTTTAAATTAATAAAATTAAAACTGGAGTCATTCTGAGTCTCTGTTCTGCTTAAATGACAAAAGGACCAGTTTTATTTCTTCTTCTTGTTTTTTTTCACTGTTGGTTTAAACAGGAAAAATTCAAACTGGATCCATTTAGATTAAAAATGGTCGAAAATAAAAACAACAAAAAAAACAAATAAGTGTTTTTCGTTGTTTTGTGTTTTTGCTTAAAACAAAGAAAAAGAAAAAACGGCCCTTTTCTTTTTTTTTTTGTTGTTGTTTTTTTCCTTTTGGTTTAAAATAAAAGATAAAATTAGATTTTAAAAAAAGAAGTCATTTTGGAACATTTCGTCATCTCACATAGTTTTTTGCATTTTTTTTGTATTTTTTCTGTTTTTT